GAGAGCAAAACTCTGATCACTGAGAATGAAACAGAGCAAACTGATAACAAAAATATATGTTGTCTAACAAAAACAAGACAAAGACAATACTGTATTGCTTTAAGATTTTGATTGCAGATTGTAAGCTTTGCTTTTGAAATGACTTTTTGAATGTTATTTTTGATAAAATTCTTTTTTTTTCTGAAGTTCTAAGAGTTTTTCTCAATCTTTTAGATACAAATCTAATTCGATATGCAGCTTCTCTCCCTCTAAGGAAACCAAAGCAGTCTGTAGGAGCATTGATCCTCTCGAGGGCATTGGCAGTTGATGGTCTCCAGAACCCTCTTGGAGGCAGCACTGAGGTAAGATGTGTCCGGGACCCCCTCAAAGATGTACACTTGGAGGGAGTGTCATCTAGGACCCTCTTGAAGGACTTGGAAGAGAGGCGTCTGGGACCCCATCTGGAGAACGTGATGGAGAAGCATCCGGGAGCCCCATCGGCTCAGGAGAACAGGAACCTGTCGGCTCAGGTGAGTGGGAACCTGTCATCTCAGCGGAGCAGGAACCTCTTGGCCCGGCAGCATCCCGTTGACTCCACCAAAATCCTCCAAGCATAAAGAAGGAGCCGCTGATGGCCAGGAAGTAGCTGCAGATCAGGGTGCCCCACCAAAACACTTTCGATCTGGCGGCAAAGAAGCTATCTGTCGGCAAGAGAGGTGGTCCACTGGAGGATCATCAAAGACCCCCTGATGAAAGAGTGAACCAATCTTCCCACAGTATCAGAGATGGGTCTGACTCTTCCAAAGCAGAGGAGAGAGAGATGGCTGTGGGAGACCCAGGTGATGGAGCTCCACCACGTTCAACAACAAGAGACAGGCCGGGAAATGAAATCTTGCCTGCTGGGTCCTTTGTTGGTCCGATCATTCTGGCAAGGTCTGGCAATGATCCATGCATCCATTATCTATACCTGCTTATTCCTTTCAAGGTCACAGGGGTCACTGGTATCCATATCCAGCAGTCACAGTGCGAAGGGAGCAGTAAACCCTGGACAGGTCGCAAGTCCATCACAGAGGTCTGGCGGTGATGTGGACCCAAAATGCAGGTAAGCCACCCGCTTCGGATGTTAGCATCCATGAAATTGACGTTATTAGGCCGTTATCAGTCCCCTAGAATAGCTTCAGAATGTCMCGCCTGCGCAGGTTAGCAGGTTCCCCGTCCCATAGAATGGCTTCTGATTGTCATCTAGTTAGTATGAGGCATAAAGCCAGTATCTGGTTAATATTAGACATAAAAGCACTATCTGGTTAATATGAGACATAAAACCACTATCTGGTTAATATGAGGCATAAAAATGGTTCAAATGATGCTTAAATCTACTAAGGTTAATTTTAGAGCAAATGACATGGTTAGCGCTAAAGACACCACCCTCCAATGGTTTTATATTGTGGCCTTCTAATAGGGCAATGGGTAGAGTGTCGGACCAAAGAGCCGGAGACTAGGGCTTGAGACCGACATGGACACAAAAATTTATTACAATATCTTTTGGTTATTTAMACATTCATTGTCATTGATAYATTAACCCACTAGGGGGCACTGTYGGGACAGYCTGAAGCCTAGAAGGCACAGTAGGGACCCTCTGAAGCCATTGTATGGGACTGATAATGCCCAATAAYGTCCATTTCATGGACTGATAAAATCAGAATCTCCTGGGTAGGCAGGCAGGCTCGAGATAAAAAGGGTTTATTAAAGAAAAAAGCCAACGTGGTGGCAAAAAACTACAAAAACAAGAAATCCTGGCATAAACACAGGAACAACCAAGCAATGATCGGACGAGGAAATAGACAGGTGACAGGGTTGAGTGAAAAGTGGAAACAGCTGCGTGATTACAAGTGCAGACAGGTGTGAGAGAAGGGCCAGAAAAGAACCAGACAAGACTGAGGAGCAAGATGAGCATGAGAAACACAAGACAGACAACAGAGGGAGACAGAGCACAGGACACCGAACCCTCACTCTTTTTTGTTCTATGGAAGCTTTTCCTTCCGTCTCTCCATCATAGAACTCTGTTTCTGTCCATGATCTGAATTCTAACATTTCAGCTTCATCTGTGTCTGACAGATGGCAGGAAAAGAGCTGCTTCTCTGTTGTAGCTAAAACACCAACAATATGAAATATGAGTTTTATTTGGGTGAAACTGCTTGGTGACAAACGTCAGTGCAATAAATTACAACATGTGAACTAAGCAGACTCTAAATCACTGTCGTGGTCAAAATAAAACACTTTAACACAGGGGGTCGAATTCACAAGGGGGCCAAAATTCCAAACTTAGTCCAGGCCAAGTGCCAATTTCTCTTAATATTTATTGAAACAATGTTAGCAAAATATTCTTAAAATAAAATTATATTTTCCAAATTATGGTTTATGTTGCATTTTAGAACACACATAACCTAACAAATAAAGAAAAAATATTAAATTTAAAAAGAACTCATTAGAATTCACTATTCAATACTTGACTTTAAAGTGAAAAGAAAATACAGTAAAAGGAAGTAAAGCTGATTCTCTTTCCACACCAAAATCAAAGAGTACTGAAAAATTCAAACTTAACTGTATTAATATTTCCCTCAGACTTCTTTATAGTCAGTGGGAAGTGAAGTTTAACTTCAGCATCTGAGGTTTAGGGGATAAATCCTGTGGGCCGTCACCAATGTGTCTTTTTAATATGGACACATGACATTAATTCCTCTCTTATTTGACTGTTATTGCACAACAATGTTTTCTAAGGTTTTTACGAAAAAATGCAAAATTATTTTTTAATTAAACACATTTTAAAATTTATCAGTAAAAGATTTGCTTAAAAATATTTAAAGTTTAACATTGTTTTATTTTATCACAATGAAAAATAAAACCATAAGCAGGTCAGATGATCTGTGT